AGGCCAGCGACTCGTCTAAGAAAGCCCATTTCAGCAGCTTGTACCCGGGTTCAAAGTTTTTCAGTGATGGCCCACGACTCATGACAGTAGATGAGCACTGAGTTGAACACCGAGAATGTTGTTTCAGACTGAGCTCTGCTTTAGTCACAATGGGTCAGACTAATTCACACAGAAAACCACTGGCTATTCCAATTCGCCGGTCGATCTCTTCCTCCAACTTTCCATCACTAGTAAATATAGTTCCAAGGAAATTGAACTTCTCCACCTGCTCCATTGCCTCTCCGTTAATCTGAAGGGGCAGCGGGCAGGAGAACGAGAAAGCACTAGGCTTTTCGTTTTAGACGCGTTCACACGCTTGCCGGTCACGTCGCACTCGGCTGCGAACCTTTCTAAGGAGCACTAGAGATCAGTTTCAGAAGATGCTAATAGAACAAGGTCGCCTACAAACAGCAACCTTCTTGATTTCACATCTCCTATACCGATACCCTCATCGCCTTGGCAGCTCCTGACTATTCTATCCATGTGCAGTAGAAACGGGATAGGGAACAGGACGCAGCTTTGGCGGAGACCAGTGCGAACGTTGAATGGTTTCGACTTAACGCCATTAACTTTGACGCAGCACTTGCTATCAGGATACAGTGATTGGATGGCCCTTAGCAGCTGGCCATCAATCCCAGTATGCACGAAGGCATGTGCACAGACGGTTGCGTGAGATCCGGTCATTCAGTGAAACATTACATAACGTATCGCAGGAAAACGTAATTATAAAAAAAATGACAAAGGACCACAAAAATCTAACAATGTGAAATGATGCTGGTCAACACCTTTAGGTGTTTTCAGAATGTGAATGGACAACGAAAGTATTGCATGTCATACCAGCTCTCGTTTCAGCTGACCTGCAGGATGTGGCATAAAAAATAGCAATTTAGGGCTAGTTTGACGATAGAAGGGAATATTGCGAAGAGAGGGTCCGCTTATTGATAATAACAGTTGCACTGAATGGTTATAAAGACAATTTCCTGTCATTTATTCTTGTTCATACGGCGTACTCACACTGTTTTCTTGCTTCTAGTAGCCTAGGGGATCATGTAAGCAACCACGCTCCATTTAGCACCTGCGGTACCAACAAAGTGGTGCGGTTTTACGCCAATTTGCCACGGGTATAAAACATCATGAAGCCTGACCTGTTCAAACAGTCCCTTAGGTTAATGGATGCAAGGAGACGATGCGACTACGTCTTGTGAACCCAGGGATATTATGAGAGATTTTTATTCTTGTCAGCGCTATCAGGAATTAGCAGTTTCCTGATTACAATCAGGGGACACTCGAAGATTCGAACTCGTTATCATTAGATAATATTCACTAATGTCTTAATGCTCTGTCGTCATGCAAAATAACTGAAAATGCGATCCTAATTAAACACATTCAGTAAAATCCTGTTCTAGATGTATGATTTGTTTATTTACAGGGACCTGATTCACTTCGCACAAAGCAACGACAAAGTTGTTGAACAGATCGCCCGAAGGTGAGTATTTTTTTTGCTTTACGAAATATGTAGCGAAGTACAAATACAATAATCCGCAATAGCGTTTCTAATTGCAAATAGCTGCAGATCCTTAGATTTAGCTCTTATTAACATCGCATCCCCTTCTACTTTATAAAACATGCTACTTTAATTGATCATTCAACTTTTCCGTTTTGCCTCCCTGCTTCACTTGCGGATTTGTCCCTAGGGTGGGTCTTCTTATTTTGACCTTTCAGATATAAATCAAGAGATCAACTTTCGCAACTGCATTGCTTGCTGAAGGTGTCAGGTGGTGGAACTTATTTTTCGTACTGCTCGACAGGACACTATCCTTTAGTTGCTGTAAGTCAGTAGGATAGCTAGTTTGATATCTAGAATGTACTTCTTAGTTTAAAGTTTTGGCTTTTGTTGCAAATATGAATTCCGCTTTGCTGAATTCTGTTCTATGAGAGCAGTTTACTTTGCCGTTGCTCGTTTACTAGGGAGGAAACTCAACAAAGCACTAATAGTTGTATGTATGCACATCATTTGATACTAGCTATAGCAGAAGTCATGAAGAACAACGCCAGAGTAAAAACTTGCAAAATCAGAGCTCATCGTGAAGCTTGCGTGTCAACTAGCTAATGTGCATACTTTTGGCAAGATTTTTCACAAATGTTATATAAAGGTCCAGGGACACACAGACTTATAGCTGTTTTATTCATAAGTAACCTGTGCAAATGAATAAATGAATGAACTTTACTCAGCACAGATATGAATTATGATCATGTGTAATAAATTTATTGCTGCTTAAATAAACGTTCTGTTTCTCTCTAACTTGTGAAGTCAAGAAGGAGTAAATATTTTTTGCAAACATTCCATCATTTGTTTTATTTGCGGTTTTACTCTATTTCTTGTTGTCAACAGTTAGTTTCCGGCAGTGGTGAAGTTAGCTATTTAATGACTAAATTTTATAGGGGCCGAGAGTTTATTCAAAATTGGTTGACGATGACCGAAGTGAAGTGCTACTGGAAATCGCTGCTGAGCAAATACGCGAGGCTGCTGCAGTTTCACGTCCAGTATAATGCCTCATTGATAGAAATTAGGGGCTAAGATTAGCCTGCAAATCAAA